GACAGAGAGAAAGAGGGAGACACAGAACTTGAAATGGGTCCCATGCTCTGTACTATCAGCACAGAGCCCAACTTGGGATTTTTTTGTTCTTATTTTAGAGAATGAGTGAATTGGGGAGAGGGGTAGAAGGAGAGAGAAAATTTTAAGCAGGCTCCATGCTCAGTGCAGAGCCCAATGCAGGGCTTGATCCCACCACCCTGGGATCATGACCAGAGCTGAAATCAGGAGTAAGATGCTCAAGTGAGCCACAGGCACTCCAGGACATTAAATTTTAAACATGAAACCAGCCAGAGTCCCAGAAACATGAGAAGTGGGGGGTACCCTCAAGCATTTTGATAACTGTTCTCCCATTTCTTAGAGGCTTTTCTCTAGAGCAGAAAGAAATTTCTAAACAGCACAGTTTCAGGGCACATGGATGGCTGTCAGTTAAGCGTCCATCTTTGGCTCAGGTCATGATCTTGCAGTTTGTGAGTTCGAGCCCCACATCAGGCTCTGTGCTGACAGCTCAGAACCTAAACCTGCTTTGGGTTCTCTGTCTTCCTCTCTCTTCCCCTCCCCCGCTTGTTCGTTTTCTCTCTCTCCCAAAAAATAAATAATAAAACATTTACAAAAATAAAAAAATAAACAGCACAGTTCCAACAGGAACAGTCTGGTTCTAAAAAGGAGGCAGACCAAAAGCTAGAACAGTTTCAGTAGGCACAGTCTGGTTCCAGGCAGGAGTCAAGCCAGAGACCAGCATGGTTTCATCATGAAGAGTCTCGTGTCCTAAAAGGAGTCAGACCGAAGGCCACACAAGTACTCTCAGAGATTGAAAAAACAAAAACACAAGGCCTGAAAACAGATTGCAAATGAAGCCTGGAGGCTTAAACACAAAGCAGGGCACTCAAAATCCAGGAGAAAACTTACTTCAAACTCTGTAGGTGGTGAGAAGACAGCGTACCCAGTTGGCTCTGTAGATACCATCATCTCTTCGCTCACCAGCCTTAGAGTTGTTGAAGGTCTTCACTAGATCTCATTTTTGATCATCAAGTAATGCTGACTTTAAAAATAAAACTGCCAGGGGCACCTGGGTGGCTCAGTTGGTTAAGCCTCTGTCTCTTGATTTTGGCTCAGATCATGATCTCATGGTTCATTAGTCTGAGCTCCATGTGGGGCTTCATGCTGATGACACAGAGCCTGATTGGGATTCTCTCTTTCCTGTTCTCTCTACCCCTCCCCCATACTCACTCTCTCAAAATAAACTTTTAAAAATAAGTAAGATTGCCAGTTATTTTACCAGCAAAAAAAAAAAAAAAAAACAGGTTTATTCAGTAATACTAGAGAATTGCAGTCCAGGACAAACAAGATAGGGCAAAACCATAGGCAAGAATTCAGAAGGAAGGAGAGGAATGCCCTTTAATAAAGAAGAAAACAGGATGTTGAGAAAGCTGTTATAAACAAAAAAGTCCATTAGAGTAAATTGGGAACTGGAAGTATAGTGGGTTTTCACTGGCTGAGGTGTCAGTGTCTCATTGGCTGGATTGTTGCTTGGGGGAGGAGGAAAGCCTTTCTTCCTCCTGTTGGGATAGCAAAATAGTATCCTTGTGCAAAGTCCCTCTCTTCCCCTTAGGTCTGGAATTGAGAAGTGAGAAGTTGTGAGAGCTTGCCCTGCTGGCCTGACTCCATTCTAAATGAGATTTCCTTTAAAAAAAAAAAAAGGTTTCCTTTAATTAATTTTCACATTTTAAAATATGCATGTGGCAGGGGTGTTTATTTTTTCACCTTTATTATGTTGTGTTCAAATACTATGACCTTTACAGTTCTTGCATTTTGAATTTGGAAATGAGTATGGTTTTGTGGAATTGCTTGTATAATTATTTTTTGTAACTGTTCCAAAGTTATTTGAATAGACATTTCTCTGTAATAGATTTACTTGCAGTCTCTTACCTTTTCTTTCAAATACAAACTTTTAAATCTGTCATAAGGATATATATCCTACTTTACTGCCACTTCTGTTAACCTCCACTTAGGAACTTCGTAGAACCATCATTTCAAAGATGGAACCCTCCTCTATTTTATCTTTCCCATAATTCCCCTTAAGAAATGCTAGGGGCGCCTGGGTGGTTCAGTAGGTTAAGTGCCCAACTTGATTTCGGCTCAGGCCATGATATACAGTTCGTGGATTCAAGCCCCGCATCAAGCTCGGCACTGACAGTGCAGAGCCTGCTTGAGATTCTCTCTCTCTCCCCTCTTCTCTGCCTCTACCCAGCTCTCTCTTTCTCAAAATAAATAAACTTAAAAAAGAAGACTGTTACAGCTTGATCACTCTAACAAAATATAATATGAAGCACCAAGATTCAATGAAATAAATGAATCTCACATCAAATTTTCTTGGATACAGATTCATTTTTCCAGTGACCAAACCCTGCTACACTTCATTCCTCAAATGTTTCTCTCCTTGGCTAATAGAATTTCTTAGTTTCACCTGGAAGCAGAGTGGTCTAGGGGAAAAAAAGACAGATTTTAGGTCAGAAAGGCCTGGGTTTTAATCCAAGCTCTACGTACATAACAGTTTGATCAAGTTATTTAACCTCTTTAAACCTTAGTTTCCTCTTATGTAATAAAAGAATAAAAGCCAAGAATTAATACTGTATCAACTGCAGGGGCTACTAACCTTAGAAAAAGCACCATCGTTGGCAGTCTAAGAAAATAGGGAAGTAGTAAAAATAAAAATGGCATTTATTATATATGTATATAATAATTCTATATGTATATAATCAATTATATATAATTATATTCATATAGCATATTAATATATAATAAAACATTTTACATAATATATACATTATGTGTATATATATATATATATTTTTTTTTTTTTTTTTAAGTATTTGGTCTTTTGAGAGAGAGAGGCAGAGAGAGAGAGAATTCCAGGCAAGCTGTATACTGTCAGTACAAAGCCCAATGCAGGGCTCAAACTTATGAACCATGAGATCATGACCTGAGCTTAAACCGAGAGCCAGCCACTTAACCAACTGAGCCACCCAGGAGCCCCTAACATATATTTTTAATACAGTAAAGAAAAGTTTTGGAAGGCATGTTTTCAAAACAAATCAGATTTAAGACCAGTTCCAGTGAGAATCCCTATTTGCTGCCTCCCCTCATCAGATTTTGAGGAAATGTTTATCACATTATGATCTAAGATAGATTCTTTCTCAAGTGTTTGTTATATTATGTGGAAAAGTTTTGTTTTAGTTTTGAACTAGCCATTACTAGCCTGAAATTTTATTTTTATACTTATATTCTCTGTTTTTGTTTTGTTGTAAGACTAACAAATTTCCAAACTGTTTTTACATTTTAAAAAAATTAGTGGTGCCTGGCTGGCTCATTTGGTAGAGCATGTGACTTGATATCAGGGTGGTGAGTTTGAGCTCCACAGTAGGTGTAGAGATTACTTAAAATCTTAAAAAATATTTATTACAATGCCTAGACACCTATTTTTTTAAACCTGTTTTTATTCATGTGTATATAGGATGGGACATGAAAAGATTTTGTAAAACTATTTTTACAGGCCTTTCTACAGAGTCTTTCTGAGAGGGAAGCAAATTTGTTTTCATGTACTTTTAAGATAATTGACCTGATAGCATATATTAAGTTTTAGCCAACACAAACAAATGGAAAGATATTCCATGCTCATGGGTTAGGAGAATTGATATTGTTAAAATGTCCATACTATTAAAGCAATCTACAGATACAATATAATCCCTATCAAAATACCAACAGCATTTTACACAGAACTAGAACAAATAATAAAATTTGTATGGAACCCTAAAAGACCCCAAATAGCCAAAGCAGTCTTAAAAAAGAAGAATATAGCCGGAGATATCACAACCCCAAATTTCGAGATATACTACAAAGCTGTAGTAATCAAAACAATATGGTATTGGCACAAAAATAGACACACAGATCACTGGAACAAAATAGAGAACTCAGACATAAACCCGTGTTTATATGGTCAATTAATCTATAACAAATATTAACCAGTTAATCTTTTGGTTTCAAGTGATAGAAACTCAAGTTACCTTAAATAAAAAATAGGTTGTTAGTTCAAAGATTCCCAGGAAGGTTCTACCTACCAGGCTGTGAGAAGGGCAGGAATTGCACTCAGCCTGAGGGGTTACTAGAGCAAGTCTTGAAACATTGGCAGGATTCTCTTTCCCCCTGCTGCTCATTGCTCCTTTTCCCTATAAGCCACCTTTATTCTCAACCATTGCAGGATTCCTTTAAATAGGAAGATATATAGTTCCCCACAGGTTTTACACTCTTAGCCACTAAACAGTTAGTTAAACATAATGGTCTTTCTGGGCCATGTTCAAAAGCTCATGGGTGGGACTGATGAGTGTGGCATGACTTAGTTGCTCTTTCAGGGACCAGTTGACTGTGTGGAGGGTGGAATACTGTGATAGGTTCATGTCAGTCAGGTACCAATCTCTAGACTAGTCAACCGATTACTTTCACTAACCATGTGGGTGGCTAGATCTTAGATAGAAAAGGAGTGCTAGGCAAACAGCCATGTAGAGTCTCCTACCCTAGGACAGTGGGATTCCATGGTTTTCATCATGTGCTCTGTAAGCCCCCAGAGCCCTTGTCAGTTCATGGCAAAACCAGTTTTCCATAAATAACTGTCACATATCCACCTTTGCAACTTGTACTGCTAGTTCTGTATAAGCACAAGCATTTCCTTTGATGATACATGCTTTGTGCAGAAGGAATAAAAGAACAGAATTTAAAAGAATAGAATAAAAAGAATTTTCCAGACACTTATCCCCCTAAATAGGTACTCTGTATTTTAAATAATATTTTTCAAGTATTCAAATAGTATTTTTCAAGTTTCCTACTTTGAAATGACTTTTACTTCTATCATTAGAAAGATGATCCTGGGCTTTTGGTGGACTCAGAGGTTAGGTAAAGGTTTGTCTTAGTCTAGTAAATAATGGTTTTATTCTTACTTTCTGTTTCAGTGAGGAGGTAGATTTTGAACTTCCATGCACTGAAAATGAGTGTGTATCAACTTCAGAACCTGATATTGGTGGACAATCTAAAATGGTATTTAAAGAAAAAACAGTCACTTCTCTTGGAATCGTGGCAGATGGAGTGGCCCCAGTCTTTAAAAAGAGAAGAATTGAAAATGGAAAATCTAGAAATTTAAGGCAACGAGGTGATGATCAGTAATTGCAAAAGAGCTTTTTGTACCTGCTTTTCAGACCGCATGGAGACTATACATCTTGAAGCTCCTCTGTGTTTGTTTAAATGCTGAAAATTTAGATTTATTCTAAATGTATTTTCTGTGAATCTAAAATAAATCTTTTTTCATGTGAAACTTATTTTTGCTCCTAAAATGGAAGCCTACCACCACATTTCATTGTAATACAGTGTATTATATTGAGTGTCTAAAAATGCTAATTATGTTGTAATATAAGATGCTATGTATCTGTTACTTAAAACATGGAAAAACAAGGCCTTTATTCCATTCTTACTCATAAGCACATTCTTATCCTGCACCGAAAATGCATTACTTCTGCACACTGATACTAACTTATCCAAGAAATAAGAATCAGACCACATAAGAGAAGATTCACAGGCCTGTGATGGTTCAGTTCTAAGGACTCTGTCAAAAGGCTGATACAGAATGTTTATGTGTGTTGGCCTACCATACCCAGTTTAAGGCTAAGGGCCAAGAACCAGGACTGCAACTCAGGAACTTTAAATGTAGTGCTTAATATGGAATGAAATTTGGACCAAAGGTAGAAATGTGTATTTCCCCAGTTTGGTTCAAAGCAGCAAGCATTGTTTAAACATTATTACTTACCTTGAGCTAGGCATTATGCTAGGAGCTGAGGATATAAAGATGAATAAGATATATCCCTGTTCTTCATGATTTCACATGCTAGCATAGTCCTTCTCTCAGTCATGCACTCTGTTTCAAACAGCCTTATATATACTAGAAAGTAATTTTTCAGGCTTATTTAAAGCTATGTAGATAAAGGCTTGAACAAAAATACTATGATCTCTGACTTCAGTAAAGTTTTAGTATTCCCTTAGACAAATTGGAAATATCTTTTCTGGTTACATTTCTTAACAAGTAGGATTTTCTTATTTTATCCATTTGAAGATGGTTTCTTCCCTTTATTACTCCAAATTCTTAAAATTATATTTTTTATAAATTGTACAGTATTTAACGTTTGGTAGTAAATATTTGTCTTTTTAAGTTTACTAGTAGTGTACATGTAAGAAAATGATAGCTTATTAAAAACTTTATGAACGAGTTTATTAATACTGGATTGGATTTTTTTTTCTAATACTGATCAGAGTTAACAGCATTGGTGAAACAGTATTTGGAGATTTGACTATATTTGATCAGTCTACTTATTTAGGTATTTCATGAATACATAGCGTATGAAGAAATATTTTAGGTTCTCAATAGTGCATTTGTCATCTACCTAAGCAGTACATTTTGGTGTTCGACTGCCCTTAATTGGAGAAAGTAATAAGACCATAAATGGAATGCTACTTTATTTTACCCCCACGTAGCTCATACAAAATATGCAAAAAACATACCTTATCATCAGGAGCTTGGGAAGATGGTGGATTAAGAGGACCCCAAGCTCACCCTGTCCCACATTTACAACTAGATACCATCCATATCCAGGTCAATAAACCAGAGAATGATCTGAAGACTGGCAGAACAAACCATAGCTAAATATAGACGTGGAGCTACCTCTCAAAGGTCAGGACGGTCAGCTAGGCAGAGGGAGGCTGCCAGCAGGAGAGAGGGAGCTCTCCTGTATGGAGAGAGCAGAGATACAGGCCATCGCACGCAAGGAAAGCTAATCCCCATAAGGTTGGCTTTAAAAACCAACCTGTGTTTGTAAAACCAGTGGGACTTGGATCCTGGAGTCAGCCAACTCTGCACTGGGCAAGCGATAGCTGTGTCTCCGCTCTTACAGAGCAGCTGGCTTGAAGAGGCAACATAAAAATGGCAGCTTACACAACGCCAGGGACAAATAGGAGAGCTGTTCCTACCGAGTATGGAGCATGTTAAGGGATTTGGAAAATGAGGGAGCTGGCAGGTACTGTTTTCCTCCCTTACCCACCAGCATAAACAGAGCCACTTGCAGGAGGTGGTACTGCACAGACACTTGCTACCGAATGTACTACCAATATACCATCCCCACAAGTTCTCCAGAGCACTTTCCCCCTCCAAGCCTGGAGGCCTCGTCCCTAGGCTCAGTGCAAATTTTGCTAAAGCTATGCTTACACCCTGCCTAGCCACCAGGTATTGCCTGCCACTGTGCAAATCACCCAGCACTGCCCCATGCCCAACCTTGAACACCCACCACTTGGCCCCAATGCACAAGTTCCCAGCTGCCACAATATTTTGCGAAATCTAGCATAGGACTAGGGTCCCAACACAAATTTTGCTAACACTGCTTCCCACTCCCAAGTTCCCCTGTGGGCACAGGCCATCAGAGCTGGCCTGCCAGAGTCCCACTAACACCACAGAGAACAATCACAGCCCACAACATGCAGAGAGTCCATGCAGACAACTGCACTGAAAGGAAAAGTGACACAACAGCAGGGTGTCAACACACATAGGTACTCTCCTGCAATGCCAGGTTCTGATAAACAGGGGATACTGCACTGCAGGGCACTCCAGGACCTCCTCTTTAGAATCGCTACTTTTAAGAACAGAATACCTAGCTGGCAACACACAGAAACACACAGAGAAGCAGACAAAATGAGAGAAAATTTTCCCAGCTCCAAGAACAAGTCCATGGCTAGAGATCTAAGCAAAACAGATATATCTAACATACCAGTTTAAAGCAATGACCGCAAGATACTCACTGGACTTGAGAAAACTGGACATGAGACACTTAACTCAGAGATAAGGAATAACATAGCAGAGATAAAGAGCTCAATAAATGAAATAAGAAACACGCATGACAGAATGAATAGTGGGATGGAAGAAGCAGAGGAACAAATTAGTGACCTAGAAGACGGAGTAATGGAACATAATCAAGTTGAACAAAAGAGAGTAAAAACAATTACATGAAACAAGAACAGACAGGAAATTTAGCAACTCCATCAAATGTAATAATTTCATATTATAGGACACCCAGAAGAAGAGAGAGAAAAAAGGGGGTAGAAAATTAATCTGAAGAAATAGCTGAAAGGTTCCCTAATCTCAGAAGGAAACACATCCAGGTACAAGAGGCACAGAGATTTCCCATCAAAATCTACAAAAGCAGACCCACACCAAGATACATTGTAACTAAATTGAAAAAATGTGGTGATAAATCTTAAAAGCAAGACCGGGGCGCCTGGGTGGCTCCATTAGTTGAGCATCCAACTCGGTTTTGGCTCAGGTCACGAGCTCATGGTTTCTGAGTTCAAGCCCTGTGTCAGGCTCTATGTGCTGAAAGCTTGGGATTCTCGCTTTCTCTCAATAAGTAAATTAAATAAATAAATAAGAAAGCAAAACAAAAGAAGTATCTTACAAGGGAAACCCCATAAGTGGCATGACATATTCAAGGTGCTGAATAGGAAAAATCTGCAGGCAAGAATACTTTATTCAGCAAGGTTATTCAGAATAGAAGGAGAGATTTAGAGTTTCCCAGACAAAAACTAAAGTTCATGACCACTAATCAACCCTGTAAGAAATATTAAATGGGACTCTTTGAGTAGAAAGGGGGGCCTGGCTAGCTCAATCAGTAGAGCATGTGACTTTGAGCCCCACAGTGGGTGCAGAGATTATATAAATAAATAACTTTTAAAAAAATACAAATTGGTATATATATACATATATATGTGTGTGTGTATATATATATAT